CTGGGCTGGGCCCTTGAAGAAGAATGTGGGACTCCAGTTCCTCTCCTCTCTCCCTCTCCTTCCCTCGTTCCCTCCCTTTTCTGCACACGCTAGGCAAGCACTTATCACTGAGCTGCACCACTAAACTTTTTTTAAGATAAGGTCTTGCTAAGTTGCCCAGTTTGGCCTCCAACTTGTGATCCTCCCACCTCAGCCTCCTGAGTAGCTGGGATGACGGGTGTGGGCCACTTTACTTGCACCTATTCGCTTCCTAAGGTGAATATTTCAAGTGTTTTTCATAGTGATGGAAAGATGACTAAAACAGATGCAGAGCATCTGAACAGTCACGGCTTTACTTCATCTTGCCAACAGCTCCTTCCTGTCCTCCAGGTGTCTGTCCGTTCCCTTTCATGAGAAAGCCCAGCCCAGTACGTGGCTACTGGGCATGGGGCTCACAGGTGTGTTTCTTCCTTGGCCCTTAGGGAAATGTGGTTTCTATAGTGGGCCCATGGGCAGGGGCAGCATGACTCTGGGAATCACATAGGAAGAGTGGCAGATTTGAGGGGTGGTCATTACTTTGATTGTCTGATGAGAAACAAAACCAGACAAAAATGGGCCTTGTCTACTCAGTAGTGTCAGTGTTGAAGAAGGGATGGGTTCAGACTCTTCAGTTCTGTGTCACAAAGGCCTCCCTGAGGCTGGTGTGGCCCCATGTCTGAGTCCAGTTGGTTCCTCACTGGTCCTGATTCCATGCCAGTTATTTCATGCCCCATTGTCCACCTGGTCCCTAGACCAGTGATACCCTAATTCTGCCTGGTCTGGGCTTGGTGACCTGCAGTTCCATTCACCACAAGTGGCCCCATCACCCCCAGGTTCAGTAACCCCTTCAGACCTCTTTCTGCTGGTGACCCACCCAGCTTGGTAGCTCTGCACTTGCAAGTCTACCTGAATGAAGCTCATTCTCCTAGCTCAGGTCTCAGCCCACCTGTCACCTCTAGAGACCTTCCCTGACCATCCAGGGGCAAGGAAGCTTCCAGTCCTTATTACACTCTCATTGCCCATCTAGCACAGACCATTTCTGGAAGACTTGCTACTCCATGCATGTTATCTGTGTTTGCTGGACCATGAGCTTCTGGAGGTGGGACCTGCCTGCCTGCTCTGCATGGGTGGGGGAGTCTCCACAGAGTGTCCCTCGCTGAATCATGCCACTCAGTGGGACGTGTGTCCATTCATTACCTTTTCCTCAACTTACAGCTTTGGAGTGTCGTGTGGTCTCCTGATCCAGTGCACTGTGCTATCTGCAGGACTCACCTGAAGTTTCTGGTGTCTGGGGATGGGGCCGGTGCCCTGAGGCTGCAGTAGGAGGAGAACAGGGGTCTGAGGAAGACCTAGCGCTCCTGGTCCTCACTCTGTTTTGCCTCTATCTAGCTGCCTGGCCTTCAGCAATGAAGTGTAGATTTTCAATAAAATGTAGGCAATCTCAAGTTCTGAATCTCAAGTTCTGTTTGCCTATCCCATCTTTGCCTTTGGAAAAGTAGACAGAGATGAGTGTTTGGAGCCACAATCTGAGGCTCAGACCTAGAGGGTGGGGCTCTAGGCCAAGGTTCCCATTGGTGAGCCCTGGAGACTGGTTAAACGCACCGCCAGGCCCCAGCCCGAGTTTCTGACTCCCCAGGTTGTGTGTTCCCAGGAGAGGGGACGCTGCGGGCCCAGGGACCACACTTCGAGGGGGAGGGTCAGTGAGCATTGACCCAGGGTGTGGGGCATCAGGTGACGATGTCCCACACAACCCAGAACACCCCACGCCTCATCATTCATACCTTCAGTTTCAGATGCAGGTTCCCACTTGCTTGCTACAACAATGAGAAGCAGGTATGTGAACCCGATTTGCAGATGTGGACAGGGGTTTGCAGGGTGTCACTGAGCAAGTGTCTGAAGGCGGCATCACACACCTACTCAGCCCTCTCTGGACTTCCTAACAAAGTACACATCCCAGACGTGGGTCATCCTGGCCACCAGGGCCTGAGGGCTGGGTGTCCTCATTCCTCTTGTGTGGGTGGCCCCAGCCGCCTCCTTAGGGGACCTCCTTGCCCCGAGTCTCCCCCTGCCTGAAAGTAGTCAGTGAGAGCTCTGGACTGCACCAGCTTAGCAGAGGGATGGGACTTTCTGCTCTGCGACTGGCTACACGTGTGGTCTTGGAAAGCTACTTAACCTTTTAAGGTTATGAGCCACTTCACAAATGGCATAACACTGTGTGCTTCAGACGTACAAGGACTCAGCGAGAGAATGCAGAGAAAAGGACAGTGCTTTTCCCTGAGAACAAGGAAAGCTGCTAGATATTAATCCTTCCTAAGGCCACCAGCTTGCCTTTTCTGACACACTGATCTGATCATAGCACTTTATAGTTTACAAGATTTGTTTCACTCATTTTCTCATTGAACAATCAAATGAGAATATGAACAAATTTGTACAACTTCTACTGAAGCTCCCTCCTGCATCCTTTGCCCACAGGATCCGGTCTAAGCTCCTCAGCAAGGCATTACAAGCTCTGAGATCCAGCCCTGCCTCCATCTGCAGTTTGCCCGACTGAGGGTCCCCTGCTGATTCTCGAAGATGCCGCCTCACAGGCACCCAAGTGGCTGAGCCATGCTTTGCTGCTTTCAACACCACGCATACCTTTCTATCCCTTCCTTTACCTTGTCCATCTAAGTCTTCCCTGTTACAAGGTAGCCTGAGTGTATCTCCTCTGCAATGGCTATGCTTTTTATTCATCCAATAAATATTTATTGGCCACCTCTATGTGCCAGTAGCTGCACAGGCACTGGGGCTACCTGGGGGAGTGTGGCAGCAGCTTTCTGAATGAGATGTTCTGTAGGATCCAGAGCCAGGCTTATGGTGTGCTTGTCACCTGGGGCTCGACCTGTTTAACCACGACTCCTCTCACTGGACTACAGATAAGCTGCGTGAGCACAGAGCATCGCTTCGACTAGTGTTTGTTAAGTCCAACAAGATATTTATGCATTCTCCTTATTATGCTTTTCTTTTACCTGGTTAGCCCAGTATTTACATTTTTTTTTTTTTTGGTACTGGGGATAGAACTCAGGACCTTGTGCTTGCAAGGCAGGCAGTGGCACCACTGAGCTAAATCCACGGGCCCCTAGTATTTACACTTTTAGGTAGATATATCTGAAATAAAAAGGTACTTATTGAAAATGTCAGCTTCAGAATTAACCACCCATCTTCTAGCCTGATCACCCTGCAAGTTTGTTCCTTCCGTGGCTACTGACCCAACCCTTAAAGATGTGCATGCCAGATGTGTTCTCAAGCCCCTGCACCTGTGGCTTTCTTATCTGCAAAATGAGCTGGTGGATGAGCACCACATATCACACTGAACTCTGTCCCAGGGACAGCCTTAGCGATACTTGTGTGGTACTTTCAGTTGACTAACTCTGCTTGGTTATAGTTCTCCTTGCTGATGGATTGTACTTAGAATTTATTCTCTTACTATAGAGACAGTAGGCGAGAAATGTCTGTTCGTTAGGAGTATATGAATGAACAGGACTTGGCTAGTTATGAGCACGCTTAATGTTCAGTTCATGGGTGCTGGGAGCCTGAGCCCTGAAGTGGGCAGAATGGTCCTTCTCTTTCCACCTACAAACAGTAAACAGTAAATGGGAGCAGCCAAAGGGAGTATTTTCAGGAGGCTAACACCTTCCTTCTTTTACGTGACCATTTCTGGTTTCCTGGCGTACTGCTGGGGCTGACCTGCATTAACACACACCCCAGTGTCAGCGGCCTGGCACCAGAGGGATTTCCCGAGTTCCTGAACAGAATTCCTCCTCTGTACAGTCCAAGCTGTTCTAAGTTGACCAGCAACTCTGCTCTTCATAGGCATTCCGGGACCAGGTGCCTTCTCTTCCCCGGCTCTTTCACCTTAGAGTGTGGTGCAGGTAGCTGGAGTCCAGCTGGTGGGAAGAGGATGCAGAGGATGAGAGGGGCCCACCGTCTTAGGAGCCTTGGCTTGGAATGGCAGACGTCGCTCTGCTTTACCCTCTAGGTGAGAATCTGTCAACTGGCCACACGCAACAGCAAGAGGGCCTGGCTACGTGGCCGGCTACAACCCTATGCTTACTGTCCAGGGGCGCAGATTCTAGTACAACTAGCAGTCTTTAGTGAAAAGGTATTTTCTTGTTTCTTTCTAAAGAAGCACTGTAAAACAGCTACAGAATCTTACTTTTGGCAAACAAGGAAAAAGTCAATTTTACATGAAAATGTCAAAGAGCTACATATACTTTAGAACTGAAAGAAGCCTGAGAGGTCATTTGGCCACTGGACACCGTGACCCTCAGACACCGTTCCCAACCCACTGTGGTCTGCCGTCCCCACAGGGCAGGGCCTTGCTTGCCGCTGATTTCCCACTCGCGACTGTTCCTGATGCAGAGGAGGCGATGAACCAATCTTTGTGGAAAAAATAAATGCATGAAATCCAAACATATCTCAAGAGAGTGATTTAAAGTTACTCTGTGAACTCATCTCCCTCTGCAGGCAGGAGAGGTTCTCAGGAGCTAGCTGGACTTGGCTTTCATGCTTCTGGACAACAACATGAAGTTTCAATGCCACCCAAGGCCACAGGGGAGTCTGGACAAACTCACGAGTGACATCCGGTGTTTCTACTGTGATTCCAAAGGAAAAGCCAGTAAGAGTCTGAACTATGTTGTGCCTTAATTCGAGATTAAAGAAAAAAAAATACCGAAGCGCTGTCTCGAGCCTGGCTCTCAGACGTGGAAAGTGCATTCTGGGACATGCAAAACACTCGGGACTGCAGACTTTCTGGTGCTGAAAGGGTTATGCCAAAGGCCCAGGCTGACAGACAGAACTGAGTGTTTTGCCACTATTTAGGGCAAAAGAATAGTTCAAATTAAGATAGTTCCAGTACTTGTAAATTAGAAACAAATTCTTATTATGGTGTGGGACATCCATGCCACCAAAAATAACAGTAAACCAAAATAAATTCAGTGACCTTTTTAAAAAAGATTACAAAATTGAATTTATTGAGTTTCACACAAGATGCACTTATAAAATTAGTACTGAATGCCATTATGACAGAAGAAATGAGCATCACCCCACACCCCCGACAGCATCTTCAAAGGAAATGAACATCTTCTGAAAATGACAGCACAGTAACAGGATAATTCAAGCGGAACTGAAAGATACCCAAACCATGTTCTTGCACTGAGCAGGGCTGTGTCTGGCAACTTTCTCCAAACTGTTCCTACTCACCAGGAACATCGTTCCTTTTGCTGGTGAAAAGGAGATGGGGAAAATGAGTAGTTTTAAAATGGGGGGAGGGGGCAACGAAACATATATAAAGCAATTGAAATGTTACTTTTTAACTCAAAAATATTTCCTGGTTTCACAAGGCATGTCTGTATAATCTCTTTGACATCAATCTTCCGATTTCCTTAGTTAGTGCAAAATATTAAAATCCACTTTCATATTCCAAATGAACAAGCCAAAGCATTAAGCCTGGTTGATATTTCCCCAGCACACAGACAACACCTAAAATTTGTCTTCTGCATAGAGAAGCCTGTAACTTTTGCATGAGGCTTGACATGCAGTCAAAACAGCAAAGGAAACAAAGTTAACAGTACCACCAGCTGGACAGTTCTGAAACCAGGAGGGGTAACATTTTTACAGAAACGCAGAAAGGATTCCCAGGATAAAATGGGGTGGAAATACCTTGTCCTATGATGCAGTGCCAAAGCAGAAATGGAAACTTGATCTCAAACAAAACCACAAAGCACCCTGTGGCTGCTGTTCTGAACATCTACACTCAAATGCCTCCGGACACCCAGACGGAAACCTCACACTGTGAACACCCTACTCCACACAAGGGCCTTTCCCACATAGGTCTGCCGCTGTCCCTCCCACACAGCACTCGGACCTCCCTGGGGACAGGCACCCCTCCGATGTCTGGAGAAAGAGGAAGAACGTGTGAGCCCAAGCAAGATGATGGTGCCCAATCCACTTGGAATATTTGACAGTTACTTTAAAAATCCAGTTAAAGTTGACAGTTTTGAATTTTTTACACTGATAATTTCTCAGCCTATGCAACACCTAATCCTTTAGCTGTAAATAACTGATGAAGTAATTAATTTTAAAGCAAATCCAGTTAACTATACCTTAAAGTTAACACTGTTCTGTTCTGTCAGTTATAAAATTCCTTTCTGTAAGGAAATTCCAATTTTATCCACTGCAATTAAATATCACACAGCTTACATTTTGCTTTAAAAAGTAAACTGAAAAAATGAAATATTTTTCTCAGTGATGAATAACCTTTTTTTTTCTTTTAAATAAATGAACTGGCTTAGGGCTTTTTTGTTTGTTTTCTATAAAATGCTACTATTCATCATCTCATGTTTAAGGTAGTCTTTTATTCTGATTCAGATATATCTTCAAGGATTATTCTGGTGGTAAGAACATTTTTGAATGCTTTGGCAGATGAAGTAAAGTTTGAAAACTGCTTGTGAAAACAGTATGAGTGGAAAGGTAATTCATGGTAAAAGCTTCACAGTTTCCCAGGTATATCCTACTGATGAGGCCTTGAGGCAAAACGTGTCGTTCTGGAGGCCCAGGCTGACAAAGCAGAGGAGCTCTTGGTGCTTCCTGCCCTGTCTGGAAGCGCTGCTGCCGCCGCCTGGACACGTGGGAGCACGCGGTCTGACAGCACCACGCTCTCCAGAGTCAAGGCCAAGGTCACTGCTGCTCGGTGATCTGACCTTCAGCCAGACCACACAACTGGAAGAAAGAGACTAAGATTTGCTTGCCATTAATAATTTAAGTTTTTAAATAAATATTTAAGTGTCACTTTCAGCATCTGTCCGTCCTGGCAGCACACATACGCTGCCCCAGGGCAAAGCAGCCTTGGCCCACAAGCCACAGGCTTCAGTCAATTCGGTTTCCACAAATTGTGAACCTGTCTATTTCTAACAAATCTTTCTTTGAGGATCTGTGTTTTAGTTCAGGGTTTTCCTGCGTTATGTCCTTCTCATCACCATCCGGAGTTGTCAGAAACTGATCAGAGTTGCTAGTCACTAGTAGTGGCGTGACATTTTCCTTCTGATGAACAGGCTGGCTGGTGACTGATGCAGACAGGTTTTCTTCTGTGGAAAGGCCTGTGGAAAAGTAGATCCACTGAATTAGAAAACAATTTCCCCTCAATTTACAAAACACAGGAGCACATCAATACCCATATTTCCAGTAGTACTGAAAAAGGTCCATTGTCCTCCCTTAAATAAAACAGAAGATAGTCAAACAGCAAACTGTACCCAGCTTGGCTTCACTGTCTGTTCATTCAAAATTTTACAGAAGGGTACAGTGTATCATACAGCTAACACCATCTCCAATTCTGAAAAGATCCTCCATGCCAGCACTTCCTGTGTAACCATATCCTCCCGTGACCACTGCCAGACCTGGAAATGAACATGGCTCTCCTACTCAGGACTTTGGGATAGTGTGGAACAGACCCTAATGCTTCCCATCTCTCATTTACAGTCACTTTAGCAAGACTTGGTCTCGCACCACTACTTCTGGAAGTCCAAATCAGAGAAAAAACATCCAACCACCCAACTAAACGCCCAATGCTCGTTTCAGGCCACAGAAATCCTGGGGCCTGGCCTTTCAACCGATTTAGCAGGGCCTGGATTGACCAACCTCTGAATTGTACATTTAGTCCTTTGAAGCATGGCTTTTCTGAGCCAAAAGTAAAGTGTAGCTCGTTGCATCTCTTCAGACTGCGTGTGAGCTCTGCCATGTGTACATGCTGCTGAAACCACTGCCACCGAGCAGGCCAGGTACACACCTGCCTCTTGGGGACCCTTCTGTCCCCCGCCTTTTGGAATGTGATGAATCTGACGCTGTCCTGAGGAACCCCCAACCCCCGTCTTACCCCAACATACTCCCGAGTGGTCTCCAGCCTGTGGTCTCCCGACCCGAAAGACGTCCCTCCCAATCACTTGTCCTAAGCGCACTTCCGTTATGGGATCCCTGGTCCTCGTACTGCTGCAGCATGTGTCTCAAGGTTTCCTCCCCATCAGACTCTTACTGGTGTCTTCATATAAACAACAGAACACATGCAGACCCTCCAGGAACCACTCAGTCAGCTGAAACACGCCAGCCCCACCTCATGATCAGCACTTACATGTTCTTTATAATGAGAAAACTATCCACAATTGTTTATTCCATGCTTTACTTTAGCTTCCTGTAAAGCACACATGACACTGAGCACGGCTCTTGTTTCACTGGAAACTTGGTCCAGCTCAAGTCTCCTCCAACCCGCCCAAAGCAAGCTCTGTACTCTGCGAGTTCCCTGCGTGCTTCTCAGGCTCCGTGAGGGCCTCACCGGGGCCCTCTCCTCAGGAGCCCTTTCCTCGTCTTCATCTGGTCTGCTTCTCATCCCTCAAGACTGAGTTCAGGCACAGTCACCTACGAGAATGCATTCCTGCCCTCTCCTTCCCCTCGCCCACCTGGATTCCCACTTGTGCTGTCTCCCGTTAGGACGGAAGCCCGAAGCCATCGTTTATATGACCTGGCACACAGAACCTGCACATGTAATGAATAAGCCGTCTCAAGGAAAGTCTTAGAAACAAATACTATGAAAGAGGAACTGCCATCTCCTGACAATTAGTCAGTGTCCCAGTTTTTCCTTTAAATCGGCCCGACAGAAACCTTGGACTCATCCTCTCACTGCACAACCTCCTCCTCATCAGCAGACCCTTTGATCAGATCTTCCAGAGGCACCCAGAATGCAGCCTGTTCTCCCTGCTGCACCCGCTCCAGCTGCTCCCCCAGGTCCCTGCCACTTTCCACAGATTGAGAAAGATCTTTTGGAAACAGTAGCGCTACCACGCTGCTCCCATGTTCCAAGGCCTGCACCCTTCATGCTCAAGTCAGAGCTAAGGTCCCACAAGAGCCTGCAGGGCCCGGGGAACTCGCAGCTCTCTGCGGCCCCGCGGCCGCTCTCCTCAGTCCCTTTCTCCAGAGTCCCACAATTCCATCCCCTGGCCTTTGCTGTCCTGCACACTGAGTAGACTAAGTAGCGCTGCTCAGGGCAACCACCTCGGCAGGGGCCCCCCAACTCCCTGCCACACACCCCTTCCCGACCCTGCCCAGTGGTCCGGTCCGGTCTCCTGGCTTTCTCCCCTCCTCCAGACGTCCAGAGGAGCACCGGCCTTTCCTCACTGCCCAGTCCCCCGGACCTGGTGTGTGACTAGCACTCCACACTCATCTGAACAGCAAAGGAACAAATGCAAAAGTTCTGGCACTGTGTCACGTGTATCCATGATGACAACTAAAACATGACCGGTAAAAACCGCACACAGCTAAGTAATGTGAAAGCAAAGCTTTGAAGCATTGCCGCATGTTGACTAAGAGGTAATTTGTATTAAAAAGAATTCAGACAATTAATTTTGAAAATGGTTCTGGGAAACACTGAAAAGATCCCAACGTACCTTGTGAGGATTTACATTTGCTCTGCGATTGGCTGGACGGTTTGCCTGGAGTGCTGGTTGGGGGAGGATTAAATAGCTTTTCTTCCATTTTGGCTTCCTTCACATATTGGCATGACTTCCCCAAGAGCACAATGCTATTAAGTATTTTCAGGGATATCAACCTAAAACCAGAAACACAGAAACAAGCCTTTTGGAGGTCACCTGCCTCGCCATGTGGACCGTGTCCTCCGTCCGGGGCTGCTGAGAAGGCGTGCGGAGTGGCGAGGAGGACATGGGGGTGAGAGGCCCGGACTCCAGGGGCCCGAGCTCCTCACACGGAGCCTGGGCTCCTCGGGCTCCTTCACCAAGAGGGAGAACTTCTGATAAATCCCTCAGTTCTCTCAGGAAAGCACACCAGTTAGAAGCTGTCCTCGTACTTAATACTTATTTATTCTCTTATTACAAAACAAACACATCCAGTAGATAGAGATTAATTTAAAAAGGCAAGAAAAGAACGTAGAATGCCACAGCAGCTGATAATCCCTGGTGCTGAGTGTATCACCTTTCCTGAGTTTATCCACTACCGCTTCCCTGCTGCAGGGAACAGCTGGGTCACAAGGCAGGAGGGGAGCGGGCTGTGGGGAGCCACGCGTCTCAGCGGATCCTGCAGGACAGCCTAGGGAGCCAAAAGCAAAGGAGCAGGGCAGGTGTGCAGAGCAGCGCTCGGCGAGGAAATGTTCAGCAAGTTGGTTATTTCACGTCTGCTGCTGCCAGTTATATGGTAATACAGTGATAATTCACCATGAATGTTTTTCATTGACAGACATTTTCCTAAGTGGCCTAAGAATGTTTAATTTAGACTGGGCGTGGTGGTGCATGCCTGTAGCCCCAGCACTCTGTGAAGCTGAGGCAAGAGAGTCTCAAGTTTGAGTCCAGTGTAGGCAGCCTAGGGACTTCCTTAGACCTTGTGTGTCAAGATGAAGGGCTGGGAAGTAGCTCAGTAGGAAGGTTATGGGTTTACTCACCCATACTACAAAAAAGAAAAGGAAAGGAAAAGAAATGCTACTTCATCAGATTTCCAATATTTTGCTATTAAAAGTTTTTGATTAAAAAATTAATTTCAACTCTGCATTTTCTTAAGATGAATCGCTAGACACCTAAACTTAGAGAAGTGGAACTTTTAGCTTAAAAGATGTTTAATGTTTAAAGGCACATGATATAAATCTGACAGAAAATTCTGGAGGAAAAAGTTGTGACTGGTATCTTGTTATTTATGCTCTTACTATAAAACATTACAGTGACTTTAAATGACACGGAAGCAAGGACTTGGGGGCCAGTGTGAACACACTGAGGAGGGGGTGGTGGCCTGTAGCCCCTCCACTGCCCTCTCGAGTTCCACGGCCTCCCGTCAGGCCTGGCGTCCAGTCCCCGAGCCAAGCCCCTCTTCCCAGGCAGGAGCCCCCACCCACCCGCCTCGCCTTCTCAGGCTGAAAGCTCAGGCTTCCTCACACCCCCTTCCTTACATCACCGTATTTCTCTTTCTAACATGACCACCTGTCACTTGAGAACTAAGTGTTTTTCTAGCTGATGTCTACTATTTGCTCCCGATAATGTCAGTGACACCAGGGCAGGGCATTTGCCTGGCTTCTCTCTGGCTGTTTCTGGAGCCCCAGTAGGTGCTGGAGGATAGAGGATGCTCGGTGGATCCAGTGTGAGCGTGGCGGTGGCCGCGGCCGTGGGGGAAGCTCCCTCCTCTGCTGGTGAGATCAAGTGGGGACGCAGCAGGGGTGTGGTGGGAAAAGCATAGCTTCGACTCTGGAGGCGGGGGCTGAAGCATAAAGAAGGTGTTGAGGACCAAAGGTGGTTCTGAGAAAGTTTGTGGAGAGGAGAGAATAACGTGGGAATTACTCAAGAGACAGGGAGTCGGAATAGATCAGGACGGCGGAGAGCGCGTGTGTACGCTTGTCTGGCTGGGCTATGCTGGTGGAGAAGCGCTAAGATGCGGGAGCAGAGGTGATGCTGGGCAGGAGGTGGGTGCCAAGCTGTCAGCAATTCAAATGAAACCACGTGCTGCTGCTCAATGAATTATGCTCAGGCAGCTCTAACTAAATAGAGGTTTTCAGGCATATTATACACACACCTCACTTCCTGGTTTGTTTATATATACAAATACTGTAACAGTTAGCTTATTAAACCAAGATGGGAGCAATTATGGCAATTCCACATGATAAACATGGCACAGCACAAAGAACTTTAAGGGGTGGTGCAAGAAAGTGTCCCAGAATGCAATAGTCTTATGATTTTTAATGTCAAAACAAGGAAAGAGACACTGCAACAAAGTGCCATGGTTTGAATTTGGTTTGTCCCCACCAAAAGCCACGTTGAAATTTAATTCCCAAGAGGAAACGAAGAGGCGAATGGATTCACAGTCAGTGACAGACCTCGGGAGGGGGCTGTGGTGAAAGCCTGGTTGCTGGGTCTCGCCTTGGGACACCCTCACTGCCTGGGACTCTGCCAGTAAGAAGGCATAACTGGAGGTGGCCCCTTCTTCCTAGACCAGGACCAGACGCCAACATAAATCTCTTCTTTATAACTTACCCATGTGTGGCACTGTATTATTAGCAACAGGAAACAGACTGTGTCCACTTGAAAGGAAGAGCAAAGGGTCTATAGCTGGATGACAACTGCATCTTGCTGGGGCCACCACTGGTATCCACATGGGCTGGACACAGCTCCAGGGACCAAGGCGGGCAGTGCAGCGCTGGGAGGCACATTCCCAACTCGATGCACATGGAGAGGTGGGGTGCAGACAATGAGAAGTGACGGTTCCCTTACTGCTTCGACAAGCAGCTTGCTGAGCATCTGCCATGTGCCAGTGGTGTGCAGGGAGCAGACAGACAGAAAACACCCCAACATGGAGCTGGAGCCACACCGACGTCCCTGGACAGCAGACCTCACTCCAGGGCAAGACCCCAAGGCAATCGACAGCTGCAGTTACTCCTGTTCTGTTTATTTGCTCCCTACTCTCCTCCCCCTGAAGAGGTCAGAGCTGAGCCCTCTGCCAGCTCAGCCCCTTCCAGAACTAACTGCCATGCATCCCACATGAGCCACAGTGAGATTAGGCTTCCTAGTTTCTAGACTACTTATATCATCAGTTGAGAAAACTACTTAGTTTAGAAAACTAACTATGGCAAAACTACTGACATATGTTATTTTCTCTCACCATTTATGATTATCTTAAATTTTTTTATTCATTTCCTGATTCTCCCCCAACTAGAGGGTAAGCCACTCAAAACCAACAGATTTGACGGTGAGGTTTAGCCTGCCATGGATAGAGACACTACAATTCTGCATCCTTTGGGTTGGTATGACATAGGCCTAGAGGGTCCTACATAATTAAATGTGGCAAACATACCGGAGGGTCAAAGATGGTTTTAGACAGAAAAATGTTTAACTATAATGGCTTCTTTTCATAAAAGAAAACAGGAAAAAATGAAATCTTAAGCAAAAACCAGAACAAAACACAAAGGGGTTTAAAGTAAAGATTTCACTAATGGTTAAAATAAAATCTAAAGTACACAGAGTGGGAGAAGTATGATTTAGGTGCAGAAAATTCCATTACATCTTACACTTATACTTTAAAATTAAAAACATATTCAATAGTCAGTCTTACCCAAAATAGAAGAGTGTGACACAGGCATAGGACAGGATTCCTTGCACTTTAATTGAGCTTGTTACAACTCTGATGAGCTACCAGAAACAAACCAAAACAACAAAACACACAACCACAGAGTTAATAGTCGTTATTTAAATACAAGATTTCTCAATGATCCTTTCAGCATTTCAGGCCACATGTGTGGCCTTCCTCTCACTCTGAGCACAGTGATCAAAGCCCGCCTGCCTGTGAAACCCTCTGTGCAGGGTCCGGTTGCTCAGGCAAATCAGGGTATAGCCAACGGCTGCTGACTCTGAAGTCAGATGCTACACTGACGACACCTCTGCCTGCACCACTAGGGACACAGGTCAGCCCACTGTTAGAAAAACATCTTTCGGAAAGTACTCATCTCTTACGTGGGTCCCCAGCAGAGCAAGAAGCCACTGGTTCTGGAAATTATGGCAAACACCATCTCCTTACCTTACAGAACTACAGGAATGACAGCACTATCCTCGGGAGTCACGGGGAATGCATACGGATTACAGGCACGCGCGGGGGTGCATCTGTGCTGAGCTCTAGTGGGACGGACCCCCGCAGAGGGAGGACTGGGGACTAGAGCTGGCCCTATCCATGCTGTTATTAAGTGGGAGAGCCTATGAGGGGCCTTAAACATGAATGTGCATTGTAAGAGATTTTTAAGAAGCGCTTTTAATAAAAGAACAACTGAGATGAGGAACGGACTGTTGTATATTTGATAACATTTAACGTGAGAAAACTGATACGGGAACCCTTGCCTGCACTGACTGCCTCCAACAGGGAAATGACTGTTGTCATTAAACCAATGCTTTTTAAAAAAATCAATCAGGCTATCCAGGTTTAATGTAATATTTCATCAATGTCTTTGACATTTACTAAAAAATTTTACTCTTCATTATTTTCCCAAAATACTAGGAATTCTTTTAACCAAGCAAAAGAAACTTGCATTATTATAAAATAATGAACTATTAATATAATTGAAAATATTTAGGATGTGGTTATCTGGAAAGTCACCCTAAAAATTAAGTACCATTAACTCTATTAATAATCAATCATCTAAAAACAGTCAGGCAAGCTGGTCCAATACCCAGCTGGCATGGCCTGTAACTTCCTTCTACACTTTGTAGCTGATCTGCACAGGCTGCTGCTATAGGACAGCGTTAGACATCTGGGAAAAAGATGGTTTCACTTGCTTTGATGCAAGACTAGATAGTCCAGGAGGGACAGAATCACACAAATGATGCAGCCACCAAATCTTTATTTTTATGTTTTTGTTTTTTGAGACAGGGTCTCAACTACGTAGCCCAGGCTGTCCTTGAGCTTACAATCCTCCTGCCTCAGCCTCCTGAGTGCTGGGATTACAGGTTTGTGCCACCACTCCTGGCAGTCACCAAATCTTAATTAACAACATTACAGCCTGATATGGCTACTAAATACCTGCAAGGCTGTTCTGAGAATTCATTCAAATGTAGTATTTGAAGCTGAGAACCTTTTCTTGGGTTGATTTAAACTTCAGAACAATTTTTATTTAAAAAAATACATTTTTTAAAACATACCAGTAGGAATTTTCAATGTAAAAATTTTGGAAAAAACTTTAAAAAAGCTAATTCAACAGATAACAAATATATCTTCCGTTGGGCATATCATACTTCAACATACTTCTTTGTTTTCAAATTTTTACTATTTACGCCACTGTAATACTTAGCTTTGCCCACCAATCACTGGGCGCCTTTTATGACAATTTCCTTCTAGTAAAATCCTAGAACTGGAATAACTGCATCAAAGCATGATACTGTCAAACTGCTCTCTAGAAATACTGGCTTAATGTTCATCGCCACCATTATGTGTTCTGAGGGACACAGTAATACTTATTACTGGGTATATCCATTAAAAAAAATTCTTTGCCAAATGAGTAAGCGAGAGTTTTCTTACTGCTAGGAAAGCTACCTAAATAAACAGCTCTTTAACATCACCTATCTACTGGATACTCCATCATCTAGCTACTCAAAAGCCAAGAGGATAATGCTATAATTTAAAGCACACTTTCCTTTAGTTTTTATATCAAGTCCTTTTAAAATAAACTTATTGATAATCCATTTATTAATGTTCTAACATGATGATTATCTCCTTTAAAAAAATTCCAAAGTATGGACTTACTAAAACAGCCAGTGGGAGGGGAATGAAGCCCATCCTCCGAGCCACAGAGTCGCTGTAATCAGTATACGCCTGCAGAGGAAGGGGAGAAGGACCCTGCGTTACGGAAGTGAACCAGCACTTAAAAAGTACTCGTATTCATTCATCACCAGCACGTGCTCTCAACAGCTGACAGAACAAGCAGGAAAAGAAACTGACACCTGCTAGGGAATTTGGTAAAATGATGTGGAAGTCTTACAGAAGGCATTTTGAATACACAACTGTGTAACTGTAACTATACCGCAAAAATCATACATTATATAATGCTAAGTATTGTTAGTGTGTAAATAATGTGTAGTATAGAATGGATAGAACATTTAAGTTTTCCTTGCTAAATTTAACCACTGTTCAATTAATTTCAGACTACGACTTTGATAAAATACTCACATTTTTCTGTCGGCTGCTAACAAGATCAAAAGCAAGGCTGGCTCTATATTCACTGTAGACCTGAAGAAAAATAAGGAAGAAATACTACATTATCAAGTGCAAATACATAATGTGGGAAGATTAACTTGGTAGATAAAAATGTTTAATAATTAAACAAGAACAGATGCTAAAACCAAGCAGACCTTTGGACATGGTTTGTTTCCCTGTACAGCACAGCTGCAATTCCCCTAACTACTACACTCAGAAGTTTTTTTTTAAAAAACATTTCTCTTCATAGAGGAATAACTATTCAATGATTTTGATCCAGAGAGTTCTGGGAACAGTGGCTATTTTAAGTAGTATATTATATAAAAATTTCTTTTGAAATTTTAAACCAAATGAAAAGCCTAAAAATTATTAATTCTGTATTTCTATCCACAATGCCTTTCAGAAAAATGGATACTAACAATAAGCAAGATGGAAAATTGAGTGAGGGAACACAGTAGTGTCATTGTAGCAGTCCCAAGGCCACTTGTAAATTTTCATTTCCATTAAAAAATTGCACAAAATCCCTAAATTGAGCCTATAAATTTTGATGTCAGGTGTTGAGAAAATGAACCTATGAAAAGGCAATCATTCTGTACTGAGGAAGCCAAAAGACAAAATGATGAAATCACTTTATCAGTGGTATACAAAAAGTATGAAACTATTTTTCCCAATGAAAGCATTCAGAAACTCATAATGAAATCATCAAACTGTAGTAACTCCAACTGCATTATATTTTGAATCTATGAAATTAAAACAGTAAGTCTCAGTACGGCTTTATTAAAAATACAACCCAATAAAATCTAGAAAGATGCTGAACTGATACTTTGGGACTGAAGCAGAATGAGGACTGCATTAGGAAACTGCTACGTTTCACTGCATACACAATGAGCCCAAAACTGCTTATCTATTTCTGGACACTCTTCAGAATATGGTTACAATATAAAAGAAATCCCTCAAAGTTTCCTCATAAATTTTTACCAGAAAAAATATACTGCTCCTATCTTCTAGAATTCAGGAACCTATTTATAACCACAGAGAGAAAAACAAACACCAAGTTTTAAACAGAAAGTATTTTAAAAACCAGCCAGAGAAAAGTTCGGATGGTCTAAGTTTTGTTTTTGTTTCTTGAGACAGGGCTTTGCTATGCATTCAGGCTGGCCTTGAGCTCATTATGTAGCCCAGCTGGGCCTTGAACTTGTGGCAATCCCCCTAACTCAGCCACCAAATGCTAAGATTACCGGCATGCGCCACCATGCCTGGGCTTGATGGTCTAATTTTTAAAGTAGATACCATATGATTTAAAAAACTTACGAAAACAGAGGATGATAGTATTAGCAGTGTATAATAAATGACTTTGAGCTAATGACATTCCCATCTCAACTACTGGCTGGGGTAGACTTCTACCCAAAAGTATGGAACCTAGAACTATTTAATATTGAAAGAAAATACTTTCAGTAGTATAGTAATTTTTAGAAACTTAAGAATTTTAATTCTAATTTTAAAATGAGGTCTATCATCTTCATAAATGCATTAAACCTAAATTCATTATTCTACACCCTTATAACATTAAGAAGTCAAGTAAACTTTAAACACTGAATTGCTTATAGAAATACATACATCTGCAGTAATGTCATTGAATTTGGTGATGAATGCATGCTTTACAATATCCACAGCGATTTCTGATGCAACCACCATACAGACATCTGGAAACAACACCCAGAGATGATCTACAGAGGGTGGAAAAAAGGGAGAAAATGAAACCTTTTAATATGAACAGAAGCTGTATCACAAGCTATCAGATGCCTGAACACTCTATAGCACACTACTGTAACATTTTCAATAAAGGACAGAACTAGCATTCAGTTAATTATAACCTTTATCAAAAGAGCCACACTTTACCAAGTTAAAGGACAGCTCATCCAACAAACTAACTCTGAACTTCTGATGCTCCCAGTGCTGCTTTCCGTTCAGGTCAGAGTAATGAGCAGAATACTGCCTTGAGGGGCCCACATCGTGATGGGAGGCCAGGCTAAACAAGTTTGTCAGGAAACCCCTTAATGCTATAGCTGCCTTGGCAGCATGGTAAGTAGCTAGCAGAGACATGCTGAGGTGAACTGGGCAATTTTTTGTCTCTTTGGTCACTGTAACTTAAACATATTGATCAATCATTTAATTTCACTATCATACAGACTTAACTTGTTAAATCTACTTACTTTTATGATATTTATTACAATCTCAATTCAATATTAACTAGCTGACTAGAAAAACACCAACAGACTACTGCCTAAGACCTTGGGGAAGGATTTAAGAGTTGACCAGCGCAAGAAAAAGGTGATTGGAAATGCTGACAAGGACCTACAGCAAGGCAGGACCTGGGCAGCTGGAGGCTGGGCTTTGAGGCTGATCAAGCAAGGCAGCTTTTCTGAGTCTCCCATCACAGTGAGTTTTGGAAACTGGGGACTTCTTTTAACAGTAAACTTGGCCAGTAATTGCTATGGCCTTAGGCCAGTTTTGTAATTATTTAAATTATAGTTTCCACATCTACAAAATTAAGGATAGTCCAAAGTGTCTACATTTCACTGATAGGAGAACTAAATGAGATAATGGTATATAGCATTGTGTCTGGCATGCAAACTAGTGGCATGATTTTTACCTTATTAATTACCCTGAGCACATAAGGAAAGCTTCCATAAATGGCAGTTTGGTTTACAGAAGAAATAAAATTAAAAAAAAAATAAAAAAGTTAAAACAATGAGGAATTCATCAGCAGAGTGTTCCTTTTATATCACTCTATTTGCCACAGTGGTGATAGAGGAGATGTAAGGTCTGATCTGGTGAAAGTCACACACAAGTGGGAATATCATTTCAAATGCTGAGGTGGCCGAGGGTGAGGGAGTACTGTGTTCTCGGGTGGGACTGTGATCCCATGTGGGCGCCCAGCACAGGACACAGCCACTCTGCCTTTCAAGGGTGCTGCTAGCTCACCTAATTAAACCTCCGTTCTTCAAAGGGGTCCACGTGCACAAGAGTCTACGTGCGTGTGGAGAGAGAAACTTCCTTACCACAAATCAGATGGCGTTTGAACATATTCAGATTAGAACTAATGCTACTGTAAGACCTATCATTTAATCTTACGGTCTCTAAGACAGTAATTTCTGGAAATATATTTCCAAGATCATTTCTGTCATTTTATATCTGTTTTGCTTTTTCACAGGTATCTGAAAACCACGAATTAAAATAAATTAACAAGAAATATTAGATGCCTAGAACATCCATGATACTGGAAGAAATGAAATGTACAACATGCTCTATTCCGTTAAGAACAAAGTTGTACAAAAATGTCAGACACAAAACTTTCTAGATTACTTTGAGATACTGAGAAAGTCTCTCATCACTTCCCGTCTAGCTGACTGTGGCATTATAGTTATCTATGTCTCCTATTAGCCCATGAGGTCTGCAATGTCTTGATGCCTTTTACATCTGGTACCTTTGATGGTGCCTTGCCTGGTGCCTGACACATAGCATGTGCTTTGTGCATGTCTGCCAAATGAATGCATGAAAACACGAGTTCTGACAACTTGCTGTCACAGACACATGTAAGTACTAAAATTTACTCCTTTACATTATACTTCTTTAACTTACCCCCTTTAAAGTGCGAAGAGTTGGTGACTAGGTAGGAGGTAAGTATAAGGAAAGAGCAGATTCTTCTGCTCAACACCTAAAATGAAAATGACCTGCCCGTGTTCGGGTACCGACAGCAGGCTGCGCTAGAAGCTGGAGCTGCAGTGCTGCAGGGCCTGATCTTCCAATAGCACAGAGCTCAGAGACCTCGGGGGCTGAGGGAGCCCACACAGCCCACAGCACCAGAGAACAGGCTCCATCCTTCCTCCTGAAACAGCCATTTCCAATACCCAAACCCAGGAGCAGCCAGTCATTTGGCGTTTGCTGTGGTACTTAATCTATTTCTTGTGAAAGAATAATTTGGTTTAAGAGTAAAATCATAAGACATTGTATTTGTTAAGAGCTAGTTACCTGGATTCCAAGAAAATTGTTCCATGTTTCTTAAGCACACTATTAGCAAAAGCACATAATTTGTGAATCTTTCCTTAATATCTAAAAAGAAAAGACAGAAGTAGTCAGTGCATATATAGTGTATATATAAAATAATTCTGTCAAAACAATTATTATTTCACATGTAAACATCTGCAAAAAAATATAGTCTTTTCTGAGTATCTGTGAGGCTCTGGCTCTAGGACCGCATGGATACCATAATCCATGATGCAGAATGCTGTAGTGTTTGCAAATAACCAACTCAAATCCTCTCTATACGATAACCTTCAGATTATTTATGATACTTAATACAATGTAAATACTATTTAAATAGTTGTTATACTATAATGTCCAGGGAATGACAACTAGAAAAAAGGTCTGCACATGTTCAGGACACACGTAATTTTTATTTTAGAATAGGAAGGCTGACTCAACACAACATGCTCTCTCCCTCAATGGCAAGCTATTTACTTGTTTTACCAATATAAGTCTAGCAGGGAAATTCAAATTTTCTATGAACTTCAAACACATTCAAACCACTGAACTGTTCAGAATGAGTTATTAAATTTCTCCAAAAGTCTTTGGGGATACAGAACAACTTTTCATTTTACAGAAGAAAGATATAGAAACAGTAAAGTATAAGACTTTGGGTGTGAACATAAAATCCTTTTGTCCCAGACTACTTCCAATTTGTTAAATAGTAACTACCACCTGAAGAATCCCTCAGCTATAAGAATACTGACATTACAATAGTATTTCTTAACTTATATGCAGAATGTGGGGGCAAAATTAGATTTTACAATATTTACCATAAGTTAATAAACTTGTACTCTGAGACTGATCTGCATGAATTTAATGAAAGCAAATAATTTTTAGTAAAGATCAGTTCACACATTTCTCCTAAGAGTCTGAGATACGACCTAGTGGAGAGATGGAGTGAAACAGATCTATACTTGCAGTAAGTGTGTACACACACGTCTGTCCCTGTAGTGGTGATGTGGCTAGAAACAATCACAGCTGCCCATCTCAAAAGCTCTCCTAAACCCGGCTGCTGTTTCGCACTACGGTTCTGGTTCTGCTATCAGTAACGCCAGCTCACCCACTCCATCAAGTGTTCTGAGTTTCAATTTCACCTTGAAGTCATCCTTTGCTCCTCTTTTCCTATTTTCACCTGTTCTGTTATTCTATCGCAAAATGATTTACTTTTCCTCCATGGAAAACCCCTCACCTCAGTAAGTCAGTGGGCCTCTACCACTTTGCTCTCCCTAACTCCTTACTTTTCCAGTCAGTTGTTGGGAATGTCCTTCCCAGGCAAGCTCAGCTCTCATCTGTGATGGGCCCGGGCTCACTTTCACTCCCTCAGAGCCCACAGGGCACAAGCTGCTGTTCTCATCACACAACTGGAGCTGTTCCTTCCGTACTACCACATGGCGGGGTTTAAACTGACAGCAGTGAGTCTCAAGGTGCAATACACAGATAGGCCGCATGGAAAGGTGTAAGAGAAATGAAGGAAGTACATACAGGGCTTTCAAGTGCACATATTTTGAGTAGTTCCAGCTCACAGGTCCAACTTATTTTGTGATTTCAAAGGGAATATAGGTTAAAACAAGCTAAAAGTCTGCCCTAAAGTTATTTCTATCCAGGTCCCACACAAAATACTACCTATAGTTAACTATGGATCTCAGTTAATGGGATTAAATTTCTCAACGTACCTTGGAATTTTGTACAATTATTCACAAATCTGTCTCCATATATGTGCTAAGTCCTTTCTAATTTCCATAAACAAAGTTAACAAAGAAATGTGCTTATATTTGACCCATCTACTAAGTATAGTTATATAATACCAACTTGGTTCATTATATAATTATCTAGAAAGGTACTGCATTGAAAAATTAAGAACACTATTTGAAATAAGCCAAAATAACATTTATGAACTCTAATATAACAAAACAAAAAGAAAAGCAGCATTAAAACTAATCATAGCTGTTCTGTGACACATGGCAACTGCCAGCAAAAGAAAACCTGCTAAATGCAATTTTATAATGTGAAAGATGTGAGATTATAAAGATTAAGAAAAGTAATATCATAGAAAGTATATTTTTATTTCAAGAATTCATTTTCAGTTTAACTATGAAATGTAATGTGAATGTTTTAGTTTTCTTCTTGCACATTTAGCTTCATTTTTTTACAATTAAATGTTTTACACAGATACTCTGAAGCCAAGATTTTACTTAAAATTTGAGCTTTATTAAAGCATAACTGAAATGTGAAAAAGTTCTGACAGCCCCACCCCAGCAGACCTGCTCCCCGCATCCACAGGGGCACGGAGGTGACAAGAGGCAACGAGAGGCCGGCAGCCGCCCTGCCCTGCTGCTGGCACACAGCCCTGATCAGTGGCCGGCCCCAGGCCCATCGCCCATGGGGCTCTACAGTTTTCCACCCTCTTGGCCAGTGCCCCTCCCCTACCTAAAATGCTTTGCATTAACCACAAGCACCCTCCTCTCAGGGCCAACGGCCTTCTCACCCTTGGCCCATTTGCACCCACATGGCAATAAATTCATCGCATGTTGCTTAGACTTCGCCGGCCTCGGTGGTTTCAGTCGTGCCTTGGTCTGACCTTACAAGTTCCGTAATGCAAAGAACATATTTTGCAAATTACATAATATTTGTATCATATCTCATCTTCAGTACAGCAAGGACTTTGATTAGGACTGAACCCTTATGTAGATTAAATACTGTACCTTCTACCAAAATAGGAAGTTCTCTTATTAAGGAACTTAAAAACACTAGTGATTAATGCTTCTAAGATATTTCTGATATTCAGATTATGAAGTTCCTTTTCCCCTGCTATCTTACCACTAATAGGGGCACACGTTAACAAATTTACAGTTGCAGTTTAAGTGGGGATGGGTGACATCTATTCCCAACAGCCTGCAAACCTACTGCAGGTAAACAGGCTTGTGTTAAGAGAGCCAAATCTCCTGAAGGATCTTGCTGAACGCTGTTCACATTACTAATGGGTAAAAACTATGTAAAACTTTTCATCGTAAGAATGCAAATCGGAATTCTCTGGGTTTCACATTGAACTGGTGCTTACATTACAATGGAGTAGAAAAAAGGATAAAGTGTTAAAAACCTGGTTTTAACCAAACTCCATTTCAGGTGCCCTTAGGCAATTCCTCTAAAGAAACTGTGCTCAGCTAATACTGGAAGGAATAAAGTTACTGTAAAATTTCCAAACAAAATCTTCCATGTGAAACCAGCACAAGGTGCTGAACAGTGCACTGCATTTGGGAGCTCAACTCTGGAAGGAGAAAGGGCATAAAGGACAGTGAGGTGGGAGCCCCTGCTGGACCCGTCCTCCAGTGTGGCCACAACAGCATGGAGGAGGCAAGGGACTCCTGCTCCTCCTCTCTCCCGTAAGGCTAGGGATGATTTTTTTTTTCCTTACTTGGGAATTGAAATTTAAAAGCTGCCTTAGGGTAACGTTAATTTGTTATAAAACTTGAAGGGTACAATGCAGACCACTTTGCACTGTGACATAAACAACTTTCCTTAAAAAAAAAGCAAAATCTTTGGATGCTAATTACTAACCATTTTAAGCCAAAATACACTGAATTTCTTGTGGGCTGACACGCATACACGATCAACGTGCTTGTTTTCGTTATTTTTTCAGAATCTTCTAAAACTAAATTATTAAACACTTAATCTCTCTGAACTAAAAGATGAGGACCTATTTGTAAAAGAAAGAAGAGATATTAATTACATCAAGATGGTGGTGATAAGGTTAAAAACCACATCTTACAATTTCAGGGGTCTTAATACAAAGAGTGGAAACTCTCACATTTAAAATTTATATGTCTAGTTTAAAGCCCTACAAAGGGTACCTACTCAAAACAGACTAATGTAAATCAATGAAGATGATTGTTGCAACGATGAAATTCTTACAGCTGAATAAATATATTTTATGGTCAGCAACTACTGAAGTTGCCAACAAAATTCTTTGAGCTCCCTCCCTCTTCCCCCCTCTTCTTTCATTCCAGGCTCACTCACTTGGTCCCAACACACGGGAGCAATGGGACAGCAACCCTAAAGACAGCACAAACGCCTCCAGCGCTTAGAGAGCCCGGATCCACCGTGGCCCACAGGACCACTTGGTCAGTGGGGCGAACGGATGGCACATGTGCTGCAGTGAGCATGCAGAGCCCTCTGCTGGCATGTGAGCCAAGCGTGCAAGTTGTTTTTTCTAAACTGAAACCTCAGTATTCAGGTTTAATTGCAGCGTTGGCACTTTGTGATAAACAAGTGAGTTTTGGGTTGTAGTTTGGGCACTCCGTCTCTAACAGGTTCACCATCACTGACCTGGACTTTATTCTTAGTTTTCCATCTGTTCTTTTTGTTCCTTGCCTGGTGTTCAAATCTCCTATAGTTCTAAACATCTGTTTAATAAGTCATTATTTGCCTTTTCAAATATAAGTAAAAGTTACATATAGTGAAACGTACAGGTCTTAAGTACACAATCTGCCGAGTTTTGGTAAATGTGTAACTGGGGCTGCCAGTCCTCTGATTTAAACAGATGCGTTCTATCACCCAGAAAGTTCCCCTGCACCCTCCCCGAGTCAGTCCCCTCTCCAATAACCCTTACTTCTATCACCATAAATCTCATACATGAAATCCAACAGTATGTACATTTTTGTGCCTTTTTTTTTTTTGGCTGATGCACTTAGTAGGATATATAGTTTTTTTCTTTAATTGCCAATACTATTCCATGGTATGGATGAATTACCATTTATGTTCCCGCTGATAGACATGTGGGTTGTTTCTAGTTTGGGGATACTATGAACAAAGCTGCAACAGTAATTCTCAATGCTTGGTTACAGCGTAGAACATTCAACTGTGTAAGAATGAAACTGCCTCACATCTTAACAGAGCAGTTGTAATATTTTACATCCGTCATCAGTGTAATAACAGCGTCAGTTAACGCACATCCTCACTCACTTTTGGAACCGAAGGCTGCAAGCACAGCCTCTCTGGTGGGTGTGCAGCGATGTCTAAGAAGGCTTTCCTCTGTATTTCCCTCGTGATAATTTTCCCTACTAATACCACACACCTTTTCATGACCTTTTCACCTGGTCATTTAGTCACCTTACTTTACCGAATGTCTGCTCATATCTTTTCCCCATTTTTAATTCAGGTTATTCTTTTATAATTACCTCGCAGAATTTGTAATATACTCAACAACAACAACAAAATCCTTTGTCAAATACACATACAGTACCTCCAATCTTTTGGTAGTGTTGCTTGCCTTTTCATTTCTTAATATTTCTAATGAATATGTTTTTAATTTTTTAGTCCAACTTCTTCTTTCTTTCTATAGTTAAGTGTTTTCTGAGTGGTCTCTAAAAAAGTTTCCCTGAGCAGGGCGTGGTGGCGCACACCTGTAATCCTTCCCTCCCAGTACTCAGGAGGAGGCTGTGGCAGGAGGATCACAGCGAGTCCAAGGCCAACCTGGGCTAGACAGTGAGACCCTGTTTCAAAATACCAAAAAAAAAAAGTTTCCCTACCCAAAGGTTGTGAATATATTTTCTTACATTTTGTCCTAAGAGTTTTAGAATTTAGCATTATGTTTATGGCAAGAATCACTTAAGAGAATTAATTTTAATTAGAGCTGCAAGTAAAATTTAATTGTACATACCACTATTTGACATTTGAAAGAGATTGTTCTTTTCAAACTTCTTGAAAACACTTCCTTTAATTTCAACAAACTGAAATAATAAACAAATATATTATCATCTTTATCATTATAATAGTTTTAAAAATTGACTGGCTACATATAAAATTTCTTGGAGAATAAATATAGAATAAAAAATTTCATCTCATCCACAGTACTATGGTTGAAGTAGCTTTGTAACCTAAAGTGCAAAATAAAACCTCATACTTACATTATTAGACATCATGATAGTAAGCAGTGACTTGTTGTGCGAGTTAAACGCTACGTTGAGAGTTGTTGCTTGAACCATTATGAGAATTGCATGCAAAACTAACAGTCTGTCAAGGGAAAAACTTAAATGTGTTTTCATATTATTAATGGGAAATACTATAAAATTTTGAAAACAAGAGGAAAAATAACTATATTTTCTAGGGCAAATTTTACATGAGTATTTAATTATGTTTTTAATTTCCAGGTTAGCTATAACAGATTTTAAAGGAAAAATGTGTACAATCCATATGAAGCAAACAAAAGTAGAAATGAGTCTCTGTAAATCCATTTATTTAGATTACAAGTCCTGGGCCAGGGATGTAGCTCAGTGGTGCTGCACCTGCCTGGCAAGCACAAGTTCAATTCCTAGTACTGAAAAAACAAACAAACAAACAAACAAACAAACAAACAAACAAACAAAGCTTACAAGTCCTTCTGAATGGGATTATTGTGTTCTTTCTGTATGTTGGGCACATGGCACAGTGCTTGGGAAATAGGCCCTTAAAAAAGTTTGTTAAATAAACAATAAACTATGGTAAATACTGAAAGAAGAGACTGTGGAATATGTATTGACATATTTTGAACTTTACAAAAACACAAAATAAAAGTTGGTCTGTAAGTTATTTTCTTCTCTGGTTCTTCAGGGAATACGGAAAGTTAAAGACAGTCAGAAATGTCTGAAAATTAAGATTCTTCTTATATGTCTTTATATGAACTATATTCACTTTACGCCTGGGGTGGTTAATTTATACCTTAGAATGCTCACTGTTTTACTCCACTAATTCCAGAACAAGCTTCTGGCCTCATAGATACGTTCCCACTTAGTTCCTTAACTTACCAAGCATTAAGCCAATCTCTGTCAATATTACTAAAATAACTAAGTGAGTTCTGATTCCATATGCATAATAGTAGGTATGCATGTTTGTGTAAATATGTACATGTGGTATACACACACGTAGATAGTAAAGGTACATAAACTCTCCGAAAGAAAAGCTTTAAGTCAGGGTTACTCACATGCACACAAAACTATCTCCAAAATTCTAATAAAGAGTTCATACATATAAAGATAACTTCAACAAAAATTCTAAGTATGGAAAAGTTATATAGCTCTCTGCAGTGTAAAGTATGTACAGATACACTACCTTTCCATGACAGAATCCTTCCTTTTGAGCTACACCAAGAACAGAACAGTTTGCCAGGGGTTCAAAAAATCATATACACACAAGGCTCTTTAAACTCAATTACTATTTCTATTACAGTTTCTCAAAGGAAAGCAGATATTTCAATTAATATTTAAGATGCACACATACACATATAGTTTTAAATCTGTGAAATAGCTAACCAGTAAAATAATGAGGACTACACACTGACCGCTGGGGTTTATAGGTGTAAAAGGATACACACATAGAGAACTGCCATGAAGAAGTGAGGAATCACCCCGATGTGGGCTCTCTTCCTTTCTTTAGGCTCGGTTGCTGTCCAGTAGAGCGCATCTAATATATCCTGTCCAAATGACGAAAACAGACGATCGGCTACCTACAGAAACATCAGAAGGATGTTTCTTAATAGTCCATTTAAACGTATTACTGAAACCGATACACCTTGAGCACCGGACATCTGATTTTTAAATCACAGCTGAGACAAACTAAAAAAGAACAAGGATCTTTGTTGACTTATTCATTCATATTTCTTTATTCTCTGGCACATGGTGAGTGCTCAAATAGCTGCAAAATTTGAGTTAGACTTTGGTCCAACCAGCTGTTTGTAACAAGGAAAGTCTTAGACATTGCCAAAGCGGGGAGGAGGCATATAAAAATTGTGTCTCTGGCTTTAGCACTTTAAATTCAGGATTTAAATTTAAATTCTTCAGGATAAATGTATCATTTGACTCTATGCACTCTAATGGATAGCCTAATATTTGTAAACAATGCAGTGTATTTACTTGAAGCTTAGTATATAGAATATAATATGCAGATTTACTTTCTAAAGACATTTCTGGGTATTGGTCTCCTTGAACTCGGTGTAACACTGGGGCACACAAGAAAAAAGACAGGAAGGCACCATATTTATTCTTCAGGAGTCAGCTAGAATACCACTTCCTCACGGAAGCCTTTCCCAGATCCTCCGGTCTCTTGTGGCTCCCATGTTCTCTACCACGTTGACTGGTTCTTTTCCGCCATAGCAAGGGGCAGAAAGGCCTGCTGCCCTACCTCACCCCGCCTGTCTAATTCCTTAGGAAAAAAATCCCTTTACAGTAATCTAAAAGACAAGCCTTATAAACAGCAATAAAATAGTTTCTAAAAAAGCAGTACAGCTGGGCTGGAGATATAGTTCAGTGGGAGAGCACTTGCCTGGGGTGTGTGTGGCCTTGGGTTCAATTCCCAGCAAAGCAAAAGAAGCAAAAAGTTACAGAAAAGTACTATTTGAACTTCAAAGTTTATTACGTAAATCTAGGGTAGTTTTCTATTTAAAAACTTTATTAAGATTCTGCCTCTAAGGCAGAGTACCCTTTTGTAAAGCAAACACTTAACTGCTCAATTTATTATTTTGTGTAAATGTGTATTTTCACATGCTAACTGCTTTAAAGTAAAATATATTTTTGTATTAAAAATGCTAAATTCTTGGAGAAATTGGGAAACCATGTACAATTTTAAGTCAATTTACAGTGTAAATCTATTATAGTAATATATATAGTATACAATGTACATACATAATCATAACAGCTACTTCATATTCTCTAAATTTCTAGCAAAAAGTGCACATTGTTAAGCAAAAAAAAAAAAAAAAAGTGCACATGGATTTCCAATGAATTTGCAAAACAAACGTCTTAGCTTTTTTTTTTTTTTCCAGTACCAGGGATCGAACTTGGGACCTTGTGCACGCAAGGCAGGCGGCAGCACCACTGAGCTAAACCCCGGGCCCATCTCAGCTTTGACAGTATACACTCCCTAGGGAGTACTGATCCAGAAACTTCCAGGCAGCAAATCTTTCCTGCACATGCAGGAAACATGACCCCCAGGACCTGCTTCCCTAAGCCCAGACCAGCAGCCCTGGCACCATCCCAGTAGAAGCACATTCTCCAGCCCCACCAATCAGAATCTGCATTGTAACAGGGTCCCCAAGAGATTCCATATTACAGACCTCTACTTGAGTTGGGAGAAAAATATTCCAGACTCTCAGGTGCCTTCTACACTGGAAGACTTGAAGTTGTGCTTATTGGCCACGCCTATGCATGATGTGGGCTAATGAGGCCCTTACCTCGAGCATATTGTAGATGATGTACAGCTTGATGACAGACTGTCCCCTTATCAGGTGGTACATCATGGAGTAGTCAACGTAGTGCATCATGAAGTAGGAGATTACCAAAATGACACCCTTCAAAATGTCACACACCTGGGCAGGCTGAAGCATACGTCTGTCCCTGGAACATATAAGAAGTCATGAAAATATGAGTTTTACTGTATGTGTTTTCTCTTTTTTTTTTTTTAGAGTGTATTAACTTTATTATTTTTTTACCCATTAAATTTATTGGTACATTTTAGGTATAAAATACATTTACATACATCATTGGGATCTTGTACCATTACAGGAGTATCTTGGTTCTTATTTTTTTCCCCTTCCCTTGCCCTCCCTTCACCACCTCCACCCTTCCCTATTTGCAAAGATTTTGTTTCCATGTTTTTCCTTTTCTCATATTTTTTACCTTCTTTCCTTTCTCCTACCTCTCTCACTTCCCCTGCTCCTTTAGATCTTTACTTCCTATTACACAATATCAATTATACATTTTTAAAATTAAAATATCAAGACCTAGGAGACATTACCACAGATTTTACAGAATATACTACATGTGTTTTCAACATAAGTAATCTTGATTGGATATTCACTAGCAAAGGTAATAAGAACTAGGTGGACCTTTAAAAAACTTCAAACTAAGAAGTCACACTAAATGACTCTTCAACACTATGAATTTTTCTGCCCAGTAGAGAATACAGAGATGTGAAAGCAGAACTGCCGTTAGAAGCTGGGAGTCTTGGGTGAGAACCGAGGGCAGGCATTGGCTGGTGGAGTGTGTTAAAGCAACAGCTCTCCACGATGACGACATAAGCCTTAACCTGCCCTTGAGGCCCTGAGCCCAGTGGATCAGCCTGTTCTATACAATGTGAGCATTCAATGCATGGTGTTCTGCACCTTGTGCTTTTAATTTAATAGCGCATTTTGGCTCATAAGGAAACTATTTTAACAGCAGCAAATTGACCCTCATGTGGATGTAGTGAACCCTCAAGTTACACCCAGGCTGACATATGAACAATTTGGGTTACGACTGGAATTTTAGTTTTAACTTACAAAGTCTTCAGTTACAACCCAAATGCCAGCCACTTGTGCTTCCAGATGGGTATTAGATACAGATTTAACCCTTAAACAGTTCTGGAAGGAATACTGCAGCATCTTTTCCTGTGTGGGGCAAACTGAGAAATCCTGGGCCAATGTCTTTCTAAGGACACTGAGATCTGCCTGTATACAGGAGAGAGACTCTGGAGGCTGTGCAGAGGAGCTTGAGCCTTCACTGACCAAACTGAGTTACCACCAGTCCTCAGGAACGAATTGAATTCGTAAGTCAAAAGTCCACTGTACTGAAATTTCTTTAATGCACCCTTGACAGATCTCCAGTCTTTTGCAACTACAGACCATAGCACAGTTTGTGTCATGTCTCAGAAATAAAAGTATATCTATAGGGTAAATTCCTAAAATTGGAGTTTCAAGGTTACATTCGCTTGGTATTTTGAAGAAACAGCTGGTGCACCCTCTGTAGGGGTTGTACCAATTTACACTTTTGCCAGGAATGGGAGGCGAAAGCTTGCCATGACCATCAAAACAGTATGCGGTCAACTTCTGGGTCTTTGCCAATCTCCTGGGTGAAAACCAGTACCTGGTACAGTGTCACAATGCTACCTTCTCTGTTTAGGAGACTGAATATCTTTTTTATATCTAAGAGTTATGTCCATTTCCCGTGACTTCTCTCATCGTTTTGTACTGGTTTACAGGAGAGCTCTTCAAGAGTTAGCTCTCTGTGAAATGAACTGAATTTTTTTCATAATTAATATGAGAATTGTTACTTACTCTGAGGTCAGAGTACAAAAACTAAACCTAAATCATGGAATAAACTAAACCTAAATCATCTTAATAGGTCAGAACAAAAATATATTAGAAAAGAAGAAGTTTAGGATTTCTTTTACTGGATATAAAATTCCTGGAACAAAAACAGAAAGATGCTTTCTCTACTCTACTGCAGGCTCATCCCTCAGGACGGAAGAGGCACCGTCTTGTCTTGGCAGTAGTAGTACCATTCAGTTTAAAAAACTGAAGTATTTCCTCTAAGAGCTGCAGACCTCTTCTCTTTCACCAGTCATGACAACAGCTTGATCAACAAACAATATAAGGGGTGGGCATTTGCTACTCAGCCTTCGAGCCATCTACTTGTTACTGGGTATTCCTTGGCTCCATATGCTCTGGCGCTCCTCAGATCAGAGGTGCTTTTATGCAGAGATGAACAGGAATGTGTAAGTCTTCAAGCCTCTACCTGAAACATGGCCTTAGGGGGCAGTGACCACACAGTACTAGGTCTGTGAGCAGCTGCCACAGACTCTCCTCCTTTTCTACAGTGTGAACTAAAGCTACTGGTGAATGACACCGAGTCTGAGATCTTCCAAGTCCTGAAGAGAGACAAACCAGGAAGAGGTGGAAGTAGAAGCAGAGACACTGGGCTGATCCAATGGGCCTAAGTGGGACACAGGTCAGACTTGGTCTCAGTCAGAGCTCACGTCTTGACACCTGCAGCTGAAGTCAGCTGTGGGCAAAAGCACACCAAAGACCCAGCAGATCAATCTCTGCCATTCTTTCTGTCACTCTGACTTTCTTGTTTCTGACGCTGTTCCCCACCCACCCCGGCCCCACCGGCCCCTACTCTGGCTTTCTCCTCATGACACGCAGATGAACTTCATCTTCCATGTCCCACAGCCAGCTCACAGCACAGACCCCTGCCAAGGGCTATCTGACCTTCCAGGTTATTTCTGTCCCCAGCCCGCACAGGACTGACACTAGAAGAGCAATCCTTTCTGTCAAGAGAGAACACATTTCTAACTCAAATCGGGGGAAGAGGAGACATTTTGAACACTCCTGAGCTCCTGGCCCATGCGTGGCTGTCTCCTCTCCAACAGCCAGGAACAAACTGCGAGGCATCAGAGCGGCTGCACACCTCCCCTCCTTCCTTAGAAGTGTGAGTGCTACCGTTTCCTCCCGAGACACGTGGGCACAGCTCTGCACATGATGAAAATCACACAGCACCAACAGCTGGGCATTGGAATTTAAGAACTACAGGTCATATTCTGTGATTTAAAAAAATCCTCGAAACTAAAAGCAGGGTAGGATTAGGTAAACTGCATTAATTGCCAAAATGATTTTGACAAATAAAGTAGCAAACCATACTAAAAGCTTTTGGTATTAGATGGACATCTACTTACTTAGGTGATCTAAAAGTAATTTTATTTAAGAGATAAGGAGCTCTCTTGCCATATGACCAATTGCATTCCTTTACAAACATACTGCAACAAATGAACAATCTGTTAGCGTGGTGTATATCTATGAAGAAAAACTGTATTTAATAAAAGTCATTGGTAGAAACTAGATCTACCAAACATGAAATACATAGCAAGAAAATATAACACTACAGCTTCGGAACCAAATGATAAGTCAAAATTTAAAAATTAGGAGTAAACAACTTTAGTATTATTTTACCTATCATTAAATAAGATCGAAAAACAAAAGTTGCAGAGACACCTTATGCTATAACTCAGTTACTACGTGACAAGCATGTCAAATATATTCGGTCATTAAGAATAATCCTTTAAGGGTGGTGGTACCACCCAAGTGTACAGAGAAGGCCAGGGAAGCTGAGCACATGCCTGTGGCTGAACGGTTCACAAGTTATCTGTGGAGTAGGGACAGAACCTGGGCCACCCGGCTCAGGAGGCGCGCTCTTCAGGAGCATCTGTATTCAAGGGTTCTAATTGTTCAGAATTACATTTTTTATGATAAAATAAAACTTCATAACAATATAAGAGAATAACAGTTAAAACACTATATATCATAATCTTTAAAAAGAGTACAAAACAGACAAAAAAGAACTTCTGAACTTCTTTAATCAACAACTCAGTGCCTATCTTTTAGTAACATTTAACACTACATAATTTATCATTTGGAAAAACTGCTAAAAAACAAATATGCCTCTCACTTTATTCATTTTATATATATATATATTTCATATATATACACATACATAACACATACATATTAATACCTACAACTATATATATTTTCTTGGATCCTCTGTTATTTGTGTACTCCAATCTCTGGTAAAAATCTTCCATTACTGATAACATAATTGGTTGCTACAGAGATGATTATGAATTTCTTTTTTTAAAATTAATTTTATTGGTACATTTTAGGTGTACAACATAATGACATTCATCATTGAAATTTGGACCTTTACAAAATCTCTCTTGGTTCTTATTTTTACCCCCTTCCCCTGCCCTCCCTTCAATCCCTCCAACCCTCCCTATTTACAAAGACTTTGTTTCCATTTTTTCATTTTCTCATATTAATTCCATTATGATTTTCAAAATTAAGAAACAGTATTCAAAGAAAAAAAGAAGTAGAATCTTTTAGAAACAAGGATTTTGCTTTTATATAAATATCCCTGTTAAATGAAAAAAGCTGGAAAAAATTTTTAAAAAGTTTTTAAAGTGGTTTAGTGCAAGATGCCTACATGTATCATACCTTCTCTAAGAAAAGACCTAGCTTCACGAATAATTTTACCTAATTAAAATAGCTTGAAGCAGTAACAGTATTCTTTTTTCCTTTTCTGCCAGGATAGTTTTGGACAACTACCCAGCAAGCATTTCAAACTCCCTACAAAGTTTATCTATGACCCCGTCAATCAAGCTGGAATCAGCTTTTGAATATTTGCAGGCTAAAGTTCTTTGTTATAAATGGCTGTTAAGTGGTAGTTACTGGCAATTCCTTTGCAAATGCCAAAAATCGTGAGTGAAACACATTGGGCAAAGTGAAAAACACAGTAATCTAGTTTACAGGTCTGGCTGTGTTTCATAGCAAGTCAAGTGATATTAAATAAAATATTCAATAGAATTTAACTTCTTTTCAAGTTAAACCACCCTTACAGAAATCAAATTCTCTACATTCCTAAATTTTACCTTTAATTTCTACAAATGCTTCCACTGTATTTTTAACAATTATAATTTATAATTTTGTGTTGTAAAATTTACCATTTTAAAGCCTCTCGAAGGGGCTCGTAGATTTATGGGAACAGAATTACACTGTAGAGAAAGATGATCAAGGGTGGGAATT